CATTTCTTCAAAGCTCTGAAGTCAAATGATCCAAACATTGTTGTGAAGTCTAGTGGTCGTGTCACGAGACACAATTCAACTAAAATATTTTAACGAACGTTCCTAGAGTAAACACTTTAACTTTTCAAAATACTGAGCTATTTTAATAGAGCTCCTAAAGAACATATAATTTCTTGCCACCATATATCCGTGACGCCGCGCCGACGTCACCATTGGGCAATTCGAGTCATACTTCTTGAAATATTATCACGAAATGACTGAACTTATATATGACACTAATGTACCACAATCATTTAAACTGAATGTGTTAAACGTCACTCCTTTGTCGAGCCTTGTACATAACTAATATGTTGTAATTGATGTAAATGTTTAGTTTAAGGGACCCTATGAATGGGGCAATAAGCCCTGCATGTATAGGGATCACCAGTCATTTATGACAAAGCTCGTAAATAAATAAATAAATAAATAGATAAAATAAACGAAAATTCTGAATTTCTCATATGAAATAACGTGTTTATTAATTCACGTGTGAAACGTTCCAATTGCACATAAAATTTCACATGTAAAATAATATGTGAATGGGATCATTTTCAAGTTTGCATTACAATAAACAACGTGACTGAAGACCATTATTATGTTTTATTGATCTTTATTTTCATTGAGATGAAATAGGAATTTGACAAAGAGTAACGTAGTATTCAGACGCGAGATTATTTCATTTCCTACGTTACGGCCCTGATTTTATTACGTGAGCTGAAACAGTTTATAAAGTTATTATCTACAAATAGGCGGTCTAAAGAGGCAAATAAAACACTTGTTGAAAAAATCGTGGTTTTATTAAGAATAGCAAAAAGCTAAATTTTCAACTTAAGATTGTAAAAAATATAGTTGAGGGCCACGAAACGACAGTATTTCTAAATGATTCTTCAAAATTTTCTTAATTCACTAAAGTTTTTTTATATGAAAATTCACGCTGATAAAAAAAGCGACACCATCATCTGATACTGCATGCATGCAATAGTTCCAGGAGCTGCCTCTGAATATTCCACTAGAAATTGCATGTTTTTGCTAATCCTCAGTCGTTAAAGAATATCCGATGGAAGATTAGGGCCTATTGATTCAGAAAGTATGAACAGTTTTAAAATCACACGAATATCTTTCCCCCTATCTCCAATTTAGTACAGGGCGATTTAATGGGCGTAAAGATTACCACAACGAAATCACAAGCAATGTAAAATACTGGGGAAATAACGTAACGGTCTTTATTTTTTTGTTTTATGGTTCATGGTTATAATGTCGTAGGTTCAACTTAAGGTCGTAAGTTCGATTTCCATCGTGGTCAGGCATATTTTTCAAACTTTCCCAGTGTGGATATACACTCAGAGTAACATCACAAGCATCGTTTTCACCTGAGTACATTACACCAACACAGAGAAAATAATAAAATTCCAGTTGCAAAGTAAATTTGAAATCAGTTACTTTTGGTAGTTTAGTCCAAGTATGGTTGACAAACTGCATGCTAAAACGACGCGATAAAAACTGGATAAAAAGCCTTTAAATTCTGCAATAGACGCTTTTCTACTTAACAAGACAATACAGAACGTAAACTAAGTAAGTTTTTTGACTGGTCGTTTTACAGTAATATGATCATGCTCAGTAAAATGCTTTTTAACAGGCAACTACAAACTTTTGTTGCCTAAAACAATTTGTTTATTACAACATTTATAAAACAATTTTGACAAAATTAAGCCCATGCAGGAATTCGCTCTTAAACTGCCGTTTAAGGTATTTTTCTCGAGACAATGGCGCGGAGCGACGTTCCGGGCGTAAGCCCGGGACGAGTCTAAAGTTCATCAATGATCGTGGGCGTGGGTCACTGTGCGTTTTGGGTGGGTGGTCATCTCACTGATCTCAAATATGGCTGTTTTCCAGGAGTGAAGAAGGCAAAAAATATAAAAAATACATATAAGAAAGCTTGGAAAATCGTTTCACCTAACAAATTGTAGAACCTTTTTACTATTTTAAACGTAAACATTTATAAGAATTGATTTAGTATGAGAAATCCTAAAGTATAGGACAAGTTTGTTTCAATTGTTTATGTATGACTTTTATTAATATAGACTTTGACCTTTGTTCTTGATCTTCAAGTCTTTCCTATGCATTGTTTGCGAAAGTTCAGTCTTAGTTAATTAAATTAACTTTTGTGGAAGCTCATGATAAAAAGGAAAGCAAATTATTTTCATTAGCGTCCTGTACGAATTAAATTTATTTCATTTCAAAGTGCAAGTAATAAGTTGAAGCTCGAGTTCAAGAGTTTATAAATATCGGCAAAAAGCAGTTAATTTCAATTCACATTTAAAAACGTTTACGTAGAGTTTCGTTTTGAATTTTACATTAAAATAAAGCCCATAGAAACCAAAATAATATATCTACTTTATATATTTTAGAATTTGATAGTTCTGTATTTAAAAGTGTTCAAATTTCATCTATTTTTTTCAGATTTGTACAAACATGATGTGGCAAGGTGAGCCTGCGTTCAGTGTACGTAGCGCAATTACGAATACTTCATGTTGAAACAATGTTTGGAAAATATAGGGGAGGGGTTGTTGCATGCATGTATTTCTAGTTTATTTTATATTTTTAAGGACAAGTTGTACGTTGTAGTATTTAATTTTATACGTATATTTTTCGAAGAGTGGCTGAATATATGTGGAGCATATGAATAAAAACATGTAGCACTGGCCAGTGTTTTTTCGATGTTAGTATTTGGGTTTCTTTCGCATTTTGGCAGGCAAAAAGTACATTTTGGGCTTTATACTAAGTCAATTGAAGTTAATTCACTGCATTGTACTATCTTTGGTATCGAAAGAGTGGAGATATTTTAACTTTTTGGGTAGTTTTTTTTAGTTTAAAAATTGACTTCACTCCTCTTGTTATCGTTAAAAATAACTCTTTTGGAGCACGGTCGAGATATCGTAATTCGTAAATAGCTGCCCGTTCCTGTAGCCAATCAGATTTCAGGAAAGCAAAAATATAAAAAATTTACAACTTTTACAAAATATAAAAATGATCGTGTTAGCATGACAGCTATTGCTAATACTTCATTTATTGAAAACTATCTAAAGTTGTTCGCTTTGCAAGCCGAGAGGTTCTGCATGCATGTATTCTTATAGTATATTTGCAGTAATTTTGAGCCAATGCCATGCACTATTGACGCTCCTGTATAGGCGTCTTGTTATTAATAAATTAATAAACAATTCCCCCAATAACATGACACATATGTAGGTATTATATATAGACATGCAATAATCGACAAAATCACGAATAATTTTTAATTTCGTCTTTATTTCTCGATACTATACAAAGCATCTCAACTGATGCTCATTTTACTTTACTCTAGTTACAATTGCAATGAACTACGCCAAAGGGTTGTCCAAGAGGGTATTGATGATATAGTGAGCAAATTTAGTTAACATAGAAGACTTCGATCTCAGAAGGTCGGAAGTGGTAACTACCAGCCAAGAGCGATCGTGTTTTACTGCTTCCATAGCTATAGCCGCTTGGAGGACGATATGTGTAGCCAAAATTTGTGTAAGAACCTGTTGAAGATCGAGCGTTGTTTCGAATATTAATATCATGACCTCCACCGAATGTTGGTCCATATGGGGAATTTGTGTATATAGACTTATGACTGTTTCGATACACACTGGACTTGAATGGAGAGAGGTTGTATCTGTTCACGAAGGAAAATATGAAAGAATTCCAACTTGATCTATAACCCGACGAAGCTATATTAGGGAAAAAATAGAAGGGCAAAGGTTTTTATTTATATACTTTATATATAAATGTTACCACAGGTGGCAATGAAAAGTAATTTATTCCGAGAAAAGATATGAAACTTGTCCCGAATATAGATTTTTTCGGCTTGAATTCAATCAGGGGCAGTTTAAAAAATAAATGACATTTTTTTTTTGAGGGGGGAGTGAGGGGTAAAACCATTCGGAACTAATCAATGTAACTGTTATTACTGTTAAGTAAATTCAGTTGGGTTCAATTGATGGATAGGCAGATATTATACAAAGTGATTATCATATTCGACTGAATTGCAAATCCTTACTCGTTACTCCATTTCATGAGAACCACGGAATTCTGTGATGATAGCCGTATAAATTATTATAATTATATGAACCTTGATATTTCTCCGAACTAAAATCAACGAGCACCTGCATGAGTGAGAAACTCATGAATCTAATTATGAACATCGCATAATTTCGTTAGAGTAAATCCAGCTGAAAGTAAATAAAGCGCCTGCAACTTAATTACTGCACAGAATCTTGAATTACTAATAATTTTTATCGTTGAGGGGGTTAAAGGTTGGGTTGGATTAACGTAATTGTTAAAGGGTGTATTTGCAACTGTAACATAGTGTAGCGTCACAAGGATGGCAAAAATCGCCAAAGAAGCGTTTGGTTATAGTTCGCCTTTCCCCGTTCATCCAGCTGATACCGAAATCTTAAAATGACATCATTCCTGCATTTCGTTTTCTCCATGCATGTCCTATTAAATTGCAAGAGTATTTTACACAAAAATGTCACTGAGGAATTTCTTTTTGAAAGTCTTGAATTTTCTTTGACAGAGTCATTAATTTATTGTTTAATACGATTCCTATAGTATTATAGCGCCATTGCCCTGATTCATTCTGGAGAGAGGAAATCCGTGCGGACATGTGACCTGAACACTGCATGGACAAAGAAAATGGTTCGTCGGATCTGATTGGTTATCTGCATGCGCAATTCACCAATATTGCTATGGCTATCACTTGCGTGCATGTCCTGTGTTCGTGGACTTCGCGTATAATATACGATATGTATTTTGGCAAACTCAATTTTTATTGGTTTTAATATGTAATCATTTTGAAATTATCTACCGAGTGTATAAAAAGTGAATGTGAAAGATGTTGTTTTGCACTTCACTTGATTGAACTAAACAATGCTGGGTTTTTCCCCCGGCAGAACTCGAACCTGCACCCCTGCGATTACGGTACAGCGCTCAATCCAGCTAAGCTACATGCAGAGGCTATTTGTAGAGCTGTAACCTCAAGTTTATGTACATACAGAATTTTGAGTGTGCGGGTAAAATTTCCGTAATATTTAAAAATCACATTAAAGGTGGAAAACACTTTTCTAAAAGCTAAAAATTAGCTGTTTGCGCATAATTTTTCAACTTTTTAAAAAAAGATTTAATATCCATCAGTAAACCCAAAGTATATATATATATAATCCAAGATTGAGGAGCTCAGGTCACAATTCCAGCATGGGCTCCACCTTTGAATTTACTATATGAGTAGCCTAAATTCTTAAATGTGATCTACAGTCCGTATGTAAACAAAACCTTTGTTTACATTTTTGTGTCCAAAATATTGTGCTTTATTCGACAACTATTTATATTTTCAAGCTTCTAGAGTATAATAAATGATCAAGAAACAACAATCAGGCTTTTCAAGAACTCAAAACATAGTTAAACTGTTTGTATCATAAAAAGTGGGCTCATTTGTGCACATGCGGTGTAGATCACCTTCAATAGTCTATTAAGAATCCATGGTAAAAGCAAGGTAAATGTTTGTGTCGTATCCGTTGTTTCTAATGTTTTTACAACAAAAATTCAAGTAGGTACAAAAATAATTATTTTGTCCTTCCACATTGCTATAATATACATCAGCAGGCGGGCTGCTAAGGAGCAGGCTAACTAAGGGGCTACAAACTACCCAAATAATCAAGGAATTTTAAAAGCTCAGAATACTGACCGGGACAAGTTTGGGCGGGGAATTATTGATATTATAGCTAGTAATTACTACTGGAGAGATTTACAGTAAGGATACATAATAGTACTCAAACAATATACCAGTGGTAAAGTGCTTTTTGTATTTTTATACCCAAGTTTATACCCATAGACTAATTTTACTTTTTACATTTATAATTTCACACAATAAAGGCACTGTTCACGATCATTTGACCAGGATTTGTTCAAGCTATTACAAATTTGCCTCAAAATTAAACTGGCGAGACTACAATACGCATTACGAAAATTATTATATACATGACAACCTGATTGGTTAAGAGGAGTGCACTTCCCCCGACGGCTCGTGCAATTTTGGCACATTTTTCAAATATTACTCGTATAGTGTTAAGCATTAATTGCACTCCTTCCCGTGTGATTACCTATACGGTACGTATAAAAGGGTACGTATGTGATATTGCTCTCGGAGAACTCCATCCTTTATATATATATATATATATATATATAT